GCCATGCTGACTGTCATGCTGACTGCCATGCTGACTGTCATGCGGACTGTCATGCTGCCATGCTGACTGCCATGCTGACTGTCATGCTGACTGCCATGCTGACAGTCTTCCTCAACACCTTGAGTAATTGAAATATGATTCCCAATTTCCGTAGAATTTAATTGTATTCCAACGATGTCGAATGTTTGGCAGTCCAACCCTCCCTACACCCCCACCACCCCAACCCTCCCCACCACCCCCACACCCACCCCAACCCTCCCCACCACCCCCACACCCACCCCAACCCCCCCACCACCCCCACACCCACCCCAACCCTCCCCACCACCCCCACACCCACCCCAACCCTCCCCACCACCCCCACACCCACCCCAACCATCCCCACCACCCCCACACCCACCCCAACCCTCCCCACCACCCCCACACCCCCCCAACCCTCCCCACCACCCCCACACCCACCCCAACCCTCCCCACCACCCCACCACCCACCCCAACCCTCCCCACCACCCCCCCACCCACCCCAACCATCCCCACCACCCCCACACCCACCCCAACCCTCCCCACCACCCCCACACCCACCCCAACCCTCCCCACCACCCCCACACCCACCCCAACCCTCCCCACCACCCCCACACCCACCCCAACCATCCCCACCACCCCCACACCCACCCCAACCCTCCCCACCACCCCCACACCCACCCCAACCCTCCCCACCACCCCCACACCCACCCCAACCATCCACCACCCCCCCCCACACCCACCCCAACCCTCCCCACCACCCCCCCCACACCCACCCCAACCCTCCCCACCACCCCCACACCCACCCCAACCCTCCCCACCACCCCCACACCCACCCCAACCATCCCCACCACCCCCACACCCACCCCAACCCTCCCCACCACCCCCACCCCCACCCCAACCCTCCCCACCACCCCCACACCCACCCCAACCATCCCCACCACCCCCACCACCCCCCCCACCCCCCCCCCCCCCCCCCACCCCCCCCACCCCCCCACCACCACCACCCCACCCACCCCCAACCATCCCCACCACCCCCACACCCACCCCAACCATCCCCACCACCCCCCACCCACCCCCAACCATCCCCCACCCCCCCCACACCCACCCCAACCCTCCCCACCACCCCCACACCCACCCCCCCCATCCCCACCACCCCCACACCCACCCCAACCATCCCCACCACCCCCACACACCCCCCAACCCTCCCCACCACCCCCCCACCCCACCCCAACCATCCCCACCACCCCCACACCCACCCCTGCCCTCCCCCACCACCCCCACACCCACCCCCAACCCTCCCCACCACCTCCACACCCACCCCAACCCTCCCCACCACCCCCACACCCACCCCAACCCTCCCCACCACCCCCACACCCCACCCCAACCCTCCCCACCACCCCCACACCCACCCCAACCATCCCCACCACCCCCACACCCACCCCAACCCTCCCCACCACCCCCACACCCACCCCAACCCTCCCCACCACCCCCACACCCACCCCCAACCCTCCCCACCACCCTCACACCCACCCCAACCATCCCCACCACCCCACACCCACCCCAACCCTCCCCACCACCCTCACACCCACCCCAACCATCCCCACCACCCCCACACCCACCCCTGCCCTCCCCACCACCCTCACACCCACCCCAACCATCCCCCCCCCACACCCACCCCAACCCTCCCTACCACCCTCACACCCACCCCAACCCTCCCCACCACCCCCCACACCCACCCCAACCCTCCCCACAACCCCCACACCCACCCCAACCCTCCCCACCACCCCCACACCCACCCCAACCCTCCCCACCACCCCCCACCCTTACCCACCTACCAGTGAGGGGGGGAGGGTCCTCACGGTGAGGGGCGCCACACACAAGGGTCCTCGTCCCCTCTTAAGTGCTGACTAAATAATGCCCCTCCTCCAGGGGCGGCGCCCCCCACCCCTCCAGGGGCGGCGCCCCCTCCCCACCCCTCCAGGGGCGGCGCCCCCACCCTCCAGGGGGGGCGCCCCGCCCCACCCCTCCAGGGGCAGCGCCCCACCACCCCGGGCCCCGCCCCACCACACCGGGCCCCTCCCCACCACCCCGGGCCCCGCCCCACCACACCGGGCCCCTCCCCACCACCCCGGGCCCCGCCCCACCACACCGGGCCCCGCCCCACCACCCCGGGCCCCACCCCAACACCCCGGGCCCCGCCCCAACACCCCGGGCCCCGCCCCACCACCCCGGGCCCCGCCCCACCACACCGGGCCCCGCCCCACTGCCTCGGGCCCCGCCCCACCACCCCGGGCCCCGTCCCACCCCGGACCCCGCCCCACCACCCCGGGCCCCGCCCCACCACCCCGGGCCCCGCCCCACCGCCCGGTCCCCGCCCCACCACACCGGGCCACGCCCCACCGCCTCGGGCCCCGCCCCACCACCCCGGGCCCCGTCCCACCCCGGACCCCGCCCCACCACCCCGGGCCCCGCCCCACCACCCCGGGCCCCGCCCCACAGCCCCGGGCCCCGCCCCACCACACCGGCCCCGCCCCACCGCCTCGGGCCCCGCCCCACCACCCCGGGCCCCGCCCTACCACACCGGGCCCGCCCCACCTCCTCGGGCCCCGCCCCACCACCCCGGGCCCCGCCCCACAGCCCCGGGCCCCACCCCACCACACCGGGCCCCGCCCCACCGCTTCGGGCCCCGCCCCACCACCCCGGGCCCCGCCCCACCACCCCGGGCCCCGCCCCACCGCCCCGGGCCCCGCCCCACCACCCCGGGCCCGGGCGGCCGAGATATAAGTAACGGTGGTGGGAAGTGTGCCGAGATGAGCGCCAGAGTGCGGTCACTCCACCGCCTCGAGGGCCAGCTATTGTTGTCCCGGCGTCCACTTGGCTGCTGGCTCCCACCCATCCCTGGTGCTGGGCCCCCACCACACCCCTCCCTGGTGGTGGGCCCCCACCACACCCCTCCCTGGTGCTGGGCCCCCACCACACCCCTCCCTGGTGCTGGGCCCCCACCACACCCCTCCCTGGGCCCCCACCACACCCTCCCCCTCACCACATACTAAGGGGGCTCTATACTGAGAGAGGAGGCAGCAAACCAAGCCACCTCAGAGGAATATGACCTCACCAGTAATCAAAAGGAATCTGTTGGAGCTGAATGTGACAAAGGCCCTTGGGCCTGATAAAATCTCACCTTGGATACTAACGGAAGGCGCAGAAGCACTAAGTGTGCCACTCTCTGTGGTGTATAACAGGTCACTGGAAACAGGAGACCTGCCTGAAAGTTGGAAGACAGCTAAAGTAATCCCAATATACAAATAGGGTGACAAGCAAGAGGCACTGAACTACAGGCCAGTTTCCCTAACTTGTATACCATGCAAGGTGATGTATGGTGTTGTTGGTCCTGGGGTCGACTCTTGTGCTCCCTGAACGACTGTTGGGTCTCAGAACGACTGTTCGGGTCCCAGAACAACTGTTGAGGTCTCAGAACGACTGTGTGCGTCCCAGAATGACTGTTGAGGTCCCAGAACGACTGTTGGGTCCCAGAACGACTGTTGGGGTCCCAGAACGACTCTTGGGGTCCCAAAACGACTATTGGGGTCCCAGAACGACTGTTGGGGTTTCAGAACGACTGTTGGGGTCCCAGAACGACTCTTGGGTCCCAAAACGACTATTGGGTCCCAGAACGACTGTTGGGGTTTCAGAACGACTGTTGGGGTCCCAGAACGACTGTTGGGTCCCAGGACGACTGTTGGGGTCCCAGGACGACTGTTGGGGTTTCAGAACGACTGTTGGGGTCCCAGAACGACTGTTGGGTCCCAGGACGATTGTTGGGGTATCAGAACGACTGTTGGGGTCCCAGAACGATTGTTGGGGTCCCAGAACGACTGTTCGGGTCCCAGAACGACTGTTGGGGTCTCAGAACGATTGTTGGGGTCCCAGAACGACTGTTGGGGTCCCAGAACGACTGTTGGGGTCCCAGAAAGACTGTTGGGGTCCCAGAACGACTGTTGGGGTCCCAGAAAGACTGTTGGGGTCCCAGAACGACTTTTGGGGTCCCAGAAACTCTGTTGAGGTCCCAGAACGACTGTTGGGGTCCGCGGCCCTCCCCACCACCGGGGGAGAGGTCCGGGCCCTTTTCCAACACTGGGAGAGAGGTCCGGGGCCTCCCCACCACCGGGGGAGAGGTCCGGGGCCCTCGCCACCACCGGGGGAGAGGTCCGGGGCCCTCGCCACCACCGGGGGAGAGGTCCGGGTCCTCGCCACCACCGGGGGAGAGGTCCGGGGCCTCGCCACCACCGGGGGAGAGGTCCGGGTCCCTTTCCAACACTGGGAGAGAGGTCCGGGGCCCTCTCCACCACCGAGAGAGAGGTCCGGGGCCCTCGCCACCACCGGGGGAGAGGTCCGGGCCCCTTTCCAACACTGGGAGAGAGGTCCGGGGCCTCCCCACCACCGGGGAGAGGTCCGGGGCCCTCGCCACCACCGGGGGAGAGGTCCGGGTCCTCGCCACCACCGGGGGAGAGGTCCGGGGCCTCGCCACCACCGGGGGAGAGGTCCGGGGCCTCGCCACCACCGGGGGAGAGGTCTGGGTCCTCGCCACCACCGGGGGAGAGGTCCGGGGCCTCGCCACCACCGGGGAGAGGTCCGGGTCCCTTTCCAACACTGGGAGAGAGGTCCGGGGCCCTCTCCACCACCGAGAGAGAGGTCCGCGGGGCCCTCGCCACCACCGGGGGAGAGGTCCGGGGCCCTCTCCACCACCGGGGGAGAGGTCCGGGTCCTCGCCACCACCGGGGGAGAGGTCCGGGGCCTCGCCACCACCGGGGGAGAGGTCCGGGTCCTCGCCACCACCGGGGAGAGGTCCGGGGCCTCGCCACCACCGGGGGAGAGGTCCGGGTTCTCGCCACCACCGGGGGAGAGGTCCGGGGCCCTCTCCACCACCGAGAGAGAGGTCCGGGGCCCTCTCCACCACCGAGAGAGAGGTCCGGGGCCCTCGCCACCACCGGGGAGAGGTCCGGGGCCCTCTCCACCACCGGGGGAGAGGTCCGGGTCCTCGCCACCACCGGGGGAGAGGTCCGGGGCCTCGCCACCACCGGGGGAGAGGTCCGGGTCCTCGCCACCACCGGGGGAGAGGTCCGGGGCCCTTGCCACCACCGAGAGAGAGAGGTCCGGGGCCTCGCCACCACCGGGGGAGAGGTCCGGGTCCTCGCCACCACCGGGGGAGAGGTCCGGGTCCTCGCCACCACCGGGGGAGAGGTCCGGGGCCTCGCCACCACCGGGGGAGAGGTCCGGGTCCTCGCCACCACCGGGGGAGAGGTCCGGGGCCCTTGCCACCACCGAGAGAGAGAGGTCCGGGGCCTCGCCACCACCGGGGGAGAGGTCCGGGTCCTCGCCACCACCGGGGGAGAGGTCCGGGGCCTCGCCACCACCGGGGGAGAGGTCCGGGTCCTCGCCACCACCGGGAGAAAGGTCCGGGCCCTCGCCACCACCGGGGGAGAGGTCCGGGGCCTCGCCACCACCGGGGGAGAGGTCCGGGGCCTCGCCACCACCGGGGGAGAGGTCCGGGTCCTCGCCACCACCGGGGGAGAGGTCCGAGGCCTCGCCACCACCGGGGGAGAGGTCCGGGTCCTCGCCACCACCGGGGGAGAGGTCCGGGGCCCTCGCCACCACCGAGAGAGAGAGGTCCGGGCCCTCGCCACCACTGGGGGAGAGGTCCGGGGCCTCGCCACCACCGGGGAGCCAGGGCGAGGCGCCTAGTGTACATATATCCCAGGGCTCGACAAGGAAGCATTAACAACCTCGCCTCAATGACCCACAAATCTTCATACATCAGCAGCGGCCAGGAATCGAAGGCAAGAAGAATGCTTCGACACTTCTTGTTACACCAGCTGGTGCCACCTGTGGCCCCACCTGGCCTGGTGCACCAGCTGAGGGCCCACCTGTGGCCCCACCTGGCCTGGTGCACCAGCTGAGGGCCCACCTGTGGTCCCACCTGGCCTGGTGCACCAGCTGAGGGCCCCCTGTGGTCCCACCTGGTGTGGTGCACCAGCTGAGGGCCCCCCCCTGTGGTCCCACCTGGCCTGGTGCACCAGCTGAGGGCCCACCTGTGGTCCCACCTGGCCTGGTGCACCAGCTGAGGCCCACCTGTGGCCCCACCTGGCCTGGTGCACCAGCTGAGGCCCACCTGTGGTCCCACCTGGCCTGGTGCACCAGCTGAGGGCCCACCTGTGTTCCCACCTGGCCTGGTGCACCAGCTGAGGCCCACCTGTGGCCCCACCTGGCCTGGTGCACCAGCTGAGGCCCACCTGTGGTCCCACCTGGCCTGGTGCTCCAGCTGAGGCCCACCTGTGGTCCCACCTGGCCTGGTGCACCAGCTGAGGCCCACCTGTGGCCCCACCTGGCCTGGTGCACCAGCTGAGGGCCCACCTGTGTTCCCACCTGGCCTGGTGCACCAGCTGAGGGCCCACCTGTGGTCCCACCTGGCCTGGTGCACCAGCTGAGGGCCCACCTGTGGTCCCACCTGGCCTGGTGCACCAGCTGAGGGCCCACCTGTGGTCCCACCTGGCCTGGTGCACCAGCTGAGGCCCACCTGTGGTCCCACCTGGCCTGGTGCACCAGCTGAGGCCCACCTGTGGTCCCACCTGGCCTGGTGCACCAGCTGAGGCCCACCTGTGGTCGCACCTGGCCTGGTGCACCAGCTGAGGCCCCCCTGTGGTCCCACCTGGCCTGGTGCACCAGCTGAGGCCCACCTGTGGCCCCACCTGGCCTGGTGCACCAGCTGAGGGCCCACCTGTGTTCCCACCTGGCCTGGTGCACCAGCTGAGGGCCCACCTGTGGTCCCACCTGGCCTGGTGCACCAGCTGAGGGCCCACCTGTGTTCCCACCTGGCCTGGTGCACCAGCTGAGGCCCACCTGTGGTCCCACCTGGCCTGGTGCACCAGCTGAGGGCCCACCTGTGGCCCCACCTGGCCTGGTGCACCAGCTGAGGGCCCACCTGTGGTCCCACCGGGCCTGGTGCACCAGCTGAAGGCCCACCTGTGGTCCCACCTGGCCTGGTGCACCAGCTGAGGGCCCACCTGTGGTCCCACCTGGCCTGGTGCACCAGCTGAGGGCCCACCTGGCCTGGTGCACCAGCTGAGGGCCCACCTGTGTTCCCACCTGGCCTGGTGCACCAGCTGAGGGCCCACTTGTGGTCCCACCTGGCCTGGTGCACCAGCTGAGGGCCCACCTGTGGTCCCACCTGGCCTGGTGTACCAGCTGAGGGCCCACCTGGCCTGGTGCACCAGCTGAGGCCCACCTGTGGTCCCACCTGGCCTGGTGCACCAGCTGAGGCCCACCTGTGGTCCCACCTGGCCTGGTGCACCAGCTGAGGCTCACCTGTGGTCCCACCTGGCCTGGTGCACCAGCTGAGGGCCCACTTGTGGTCCCACCTGGCCTGGTGCACCAGCTGAGGGCCCACCTGTGGTCCCACCTGGCGTGGTGCACCAGCTGAGGGCCCCCTGTGGTCCCACCTGGTGTGGTGCACCAGCTGAGGGCCCCCCCTGTGGCCCCACCTGGCCTGGTGCACCATCTGAGGGCCCCCTGTGGTCCCACCTGGCCTGGTGCACCAGCTGAGGGCCCACCTGGCCTGGTGCACCAGCTGAGGGCCCACCTGTGTGACAGGGAGACTTGTGACATTAATGACAAAAGTCACCAGGATGAGAGAGAGAGGAGGGCAGTAATGAGAGGGAAGGTCCCTGACTGGCGGAGTGTTGCTAGCGGAGTACCACAGGGCTCACGTCTTCTACCAGTAATGTTCATGTCTACATGACCCATCTACCAGAAGGAATATATAATTATATGAACATATTGGCGGGTGATGCTAAGATACTGGGGAGACAGGAGACCAAGATGGCTGTAATGTTATAAGGAAACTGGAAAAGCTGCAAAGGAATGCTACAAAATGGTTTCCAGACTTGATAAACAAAAGTTACTAAGAGAGGCTAGAGGCGTTAACTAGAAGATAGAAGAAAAAGACGTCATATGATCACCACTTACAAAATACTAACAGGAATCAACCAGATTCCTGTTAATACTAACAGGACACAGATTCAAGCTAAGGAAACAAAGGTGCCGAAATAACTTTAGAAAGTTCTCTTCCACAAGGAGAGTGGCAGACGGTTGGAACAAGTTAAGTGAGGTGGTGGTGGAGGCCAAGACTGTCAGTAGTTTCACAGTGTTATATGACAAAGAGTGCTGGGAAGACGGGACACCACGAGCGTGGCTCTCATCCTGTAACTACACTTAGGTAATTACACTTAGGTAATTACACACACACGGGATATCACCATGGGTACTGAAAGAGTGTGCAGAGGCACTTTGCTTGCCACTCTCCATAGTGTATAGTAGGTCACTGGAGACGGGAGACCTACCAGAAATATGGAAGACGGCGAATGTGGTCCCAATATACAAAAAGGGCGACAGACAAGAGGCACTGAACTACAGGCCAGTGTCCTTAACTTGTATACCATGCAAGGTGATGGAGAAGATCGTGAGAAAAAACCTAGTAACACATCTGGAGAGAAGAGACTTCGTGACAACCCATCAACATGGGTTCAGGGAGGGTAAATCTTGCCTGACTGGCTTAATAGAATTCTACGACCAGGTGACAAAGATTAAGCAAGAAAGAGAAGGATGGGCGGAATGCATTTTCTTGGATTGTCGGAAAGCCTTTGACACAGTACCGCATAAGAGGCTGGTACATAAGGTGGAGAGACAGGCAGGTGTAGCTGGTAAGGTGTTCCAGTGGATAAGGGAGCACCTAAGCAATAGGAAGCAGAGAGTTACAGTGAGGGGGTGAGACCTAAGATTGGCGTGAAGTCACCAGTGGAGTCCCACAGGGCTCTGTACTCGGTCCTATCTTGTTTCTGATATATGTAAATGATCTCCCGGAGGGTATAGACTCATTCCTCTCAATGTTTGCTGACGACGCCAAAATTATGAGAATTATTAAGGCAGAAGAGGACAGCTTGAGGCTTCAAGAAGACCTAGACAAGCTGAAGGAATGGTCGAACAAATGCTAGCTAGAGTTTAACCCAAGCAAATGTAATGTAATGAAGATAGGCGTAGGGATCAGGAGACCAGATACAAGGTATCATCTGGGAGATGAAATTCTTCAAGAGTCAGAGAAAGAAAGACTTGGGGGTTGATATCACGCCAACCCGTCTCCTGCAGCCCGTATCAAGAGGATAACATCAGCGGCATATGCCAGGCTGGCCAACATACGAACGGCATTCAGAAACTTGTGTAAAGAATCATTCAGAACTTTGTATACCACATATGTCAGGCCAATCCTGGAGTATGCAGCCCCAGCATCTAGTCAAAGATAAGACCAGACTGGAAAAGGTTCAAAGGATGCCACCAGACGAGTACCCGAGCTGAGAGGTATGAGCTACGGCGAGAGGCTACGGGAATTAAACCTCACTTCGCTGGAAGACAGAAGAGTTAGGGGGGACATGATCACCACATTCAAGATTCTGAAGGGAATTGATAGGGTAGATAAAGACAGGCTATTTGACACAAGGGGCAAACGCACAAGGGACACAGGTGGAAACTGAGTGCCCAAATAAGCCACAGAGATATTAGAAAGAACGTTTTTCGTGTCAGAGTGGTTGACAAATGGAATGCATTAGGCAGTGATGTGGTGGAGGCTGACTCTATACACAGTTTCAAGTGTAGATATGATAGAGCCCAATAGGCTCAGGAACCTGTACACAAGTTGATTGACCGTTGAGAGACGGGACCAAAGAGCCAGAGCTCAACCCCCGCAAGCACAATTAGGTGAGTACACACACACACACACACACACACACACACACACACACACACACACACACACACACACACACACACACACACACACACACACACACACACACACACAGTAGTGCCTTACGACACTAGAAAGAAGAAGGGAGAGGGGGGACATGATAGGAACGTATAAGATACTCAGAGGGATTGACAGAGTGGACATAGACGAAATGTTCACACGGAATAGTAACAGAACGAGGGGACATGGATGGAAGCTTGAAACTCAGATGAGTCACAGAGATATTAGGAAGTTTTCTTTTAGCGCGAGAGTAGTGGGAAAATGGAATGCACTTCAGGAACAGGTTGTGGAAGCAAATACTATTCATAATTTTAAAACCAGGTATGATAGGGAAATGGGACAGGAGTCATTGCTGTAAACAACCGATGCTCGAGAGGCGGGATCCAAGAGTCAATGCTCGATCCTGCAGACACAACTAGGTGAGTACACACACACACACACACACACACACCTAACCGATTTCCGACATAAGAGAAATCGGTTTTGAGGCCCAAGTAGGAATGAGCGACCACAGTGTAGTGGTGTTTGAGTACCTGATTGAAGAAGGGTTATTGAACTCGAGGAGGGATACCGAAACCAAAAGTTTAGCATACCGAAAGGGAAACTATGAGGGGATAAGAAAATTCCTAAAAGATATAACATGGGAAACAGAGCTCAGGGGAAAGACGGCCCAAGATATGATGGACTACATCACACAGAAGTGCAAGGACACAGCAAACAAGTTTGTCCCAGTCCAAAAGGAAAACAGTGAAATGCAGATGAGAAACCCATGGTTTAATTAGAGATGTAGGCTAGCTAAGCAGCAAAGTAAAAGGGCATGGAGAAACTATAGGAATAACAGGACACTGGAAAGCAGATAAAGATACCAGAATGCCAGGAATGAAT